AACAGAAGTTAACAAATTTAGAACTCAAAACTTCCTTCCACAGCGAATTGACAAATGCACCTCGATTTTTGCACAGATTTTTAAGATATAGCATATCACCATTCATGACGTGAAACGTAAGAACTTTAGAAAAGGAAGGAAACGTTGGAAAATGTGAACGGCCATCTTCGTGAGATCATCGGATTATTCGACGAAGAGTCACCAGCCTCTTCGCCAGCAAGCATCCGAAGAATAAGAACGGCGACAATCTCGTTAGCAAACAAATGGATACTAGCTCTTAAAACTGCTCCCAAAGCTTGGAGACCCCCTAGTTTTCTAGCATACAGACGATCTTTTTTATCCCTTTTTTCCTCATGAAGCGGATTTGCAATCAGACTAGTGCAAGTTACTTACTTGGATACTTAAATGGCCCGTCTTCACTGGTTGTGTAGGCCCCAGCATAATTCCCAGTTTCGGAGCATTCCTGGTTTAGCCGTTGTGGTTCCTTGAGGTCCTGACGTCAGACAGGTCTGCCCCGGTTCATGTCAACACCACAGGCGGTCGCCGTTCTTGTGGATCAGGGAGAGATTAGTTACCATGCCATAGTTTGAGACCAGGACGGTGGTGGATCCTGGTATTGGTTTACTGTTAACTAGGTTTTCTGATAGAAACACCGGACTCTTTCTCAGCTTGGGAGACCCTGCTGGGGGTATGAATCTCCTGCTGCCACCCAGAAACACCTCCCAGCCACGACGAGGCAGTAAACCGTTGGGAGGGAATTCAAGCTAAGAGATAAAAAGACTAATACATTTGTCTCGATTCGAGTAATAATCGACTGGCCCAGCACTAGAAGACAACATTGGTAAAGAAAGCGGAAATAACCGCAAGCAGCGGCGAAAACTACAAGGCACGCTGGAGACTTCTGTGGATTACTCATGCGAAAAATGGAACCGAATGCAACAAGTAGTGGAATCCACAAAACATGGCAGTATTACGTCGGGTAAAATAAAGTAACATTAAATCCCAAAATCGGCTTTTGTTTTAACCTCGGCATTGATTAATAATTCTGTTTTTCTTGATGAAGAAACCTGACAGTTCACTGTTTTTTCCTTGGTTATGGGTATTCAGTTAGTATATACTTTTTGGTACGTACACTGATATCACTTTACAGAATGTAGAAGTACAGTCGCATATGAGCTTCTCATTTCGCACTGGTTCTATGGTTTTTCAGACAGTAGGCATTAAATACACAGTTACATCTGTGTTGCATACATTACCAGACTTAGCTCAAAATGAATGGAACGGATAGCACAGTGGTAGTGATGTCCGTCATCACGAGCATGGTGCAAGTTCGATTCCGCTTCGGGCCAACCAACCCTCTCATCACTCTGGTGTCGGGAAATTGGTACCGGACTCATCCGGGAAGAAAAATCACTCTGCAATCCAATTGGAACGGTCCGGCGCGTCAATCTCAGGACTCTAGTGAGAATCGACTCGACCAGCACTCTATGACATTCATGATGAAATAACAAACCTCATGCAGCAACCGAAACCAGACGTAAAAGTTGGAAGACCTTCGTGGATGATGTACGAGAGGAAACGAAATGCAAGTGAAAAGTGCTGGGATCCATAAAATAAACATGAAGACGGGTCGTGTAGAAAAAATTTAAAAACTTCACAGTAGAACTTTTGAAAGAATAAAGAACAGGAAAGAAATTATAGATTGTATGGATTTGAATGACGTGTTATTTTCTATTTTTGCTTATTTATTTTTTATTCGTTTATTCATGTTTTCTGTTTTTTCTTTTTCTTTTTTACCTTTCTTGTAATAACACATCCTGTTCAAACATATTAATATGTTGGAGGTTCTTTGCAAAAAAATTGTAGAAAAGTTTTGCATATAGAGGATGGCGCGTAGTGCAGTAGGCAAAGTTGCCCAGCAATAAACACATGTGGTCGTTGGTCCGATCTCTCCTCCCAGGCTTACAAATTTTTCCATCTGTCCGGAGTCAGGAAATTGCTATCAGACTTGTCTGGGAGGATGGCAACACTGGCTTCATACATCGGTAGACCACATAAAATCATTGTATAAGAAAAATACGCATTGAATCACCTCTACGAAGCTCAATGAAGTCGAGCACATGGTATGTTCTTCAGGTATATATTAACGCCGAACATTTTCTCCTTTAGATATCGCGAACTGTTAACACTTAGGCCTAAGAGTGTTATAAAGGTATCTTGATTAAAGATTTGCTTGAAAATGGGAAGAAAAGGAACCCAGATCCTACTGTGTCAGATCTAAAATGGTAACATCTAAGCCCACCTTTAGAAGAACGTTACAAAAGGACGTAGATCGGTAAAGGCAAAAAGAAGTTATTCGAAGCACATCAAAAACGAACCAGTTTGAAGATGTGCTGTTGAGACCCGAGCCACTATAGTGTCCCACCACCAGCCTTGATAAGAGAATATGGGACTACTACCACTTCCTGTTATGATATTCAATTAATAATGGAACAGTTCTATAGTAGTTCTTCCCGTCCTTATGTATATAGTCCTCTCCGTTCTATAATTCCCGCCTCGGACATCAAATTCTTGGCTGAAGAAAAATCGCCGAAGACTCCTTCCTCTGACATTCAAACTGATATATAAAGTAAGAACAGAGGCGCAGCTCGAGAACCCGATAATATTAATAAGGGAGGAAAAACCTAAGACCACTAGAGGACGTCGAGCATGGACGTTCTGTTCGACGATGGCAGAAGAGGTCTTGTAGCTGTCATACAACATGTTTGTTGATTGAACTTTACAACATGCTTGAGAAGACCACCTTATTGCACATATAAAGGCCTTTGGATGAGAAACAACCATTTCAGTAAGCACGATTTCGACTTCATGGAGCACACCCGCTTTAACCCGAATCATGGAAACGTTGAAACTGAGTACCACTCCACCTTGCCCTAACATTTATCAGCTAAGGAAAAGCGTTTGAAACCCTAAAAGCGCAGTGCTATCAGCGCTCTCAACCAAGGAATGAACCCGTTCTATATAAAAGACAAAAGGATAAAGTTCTCCGCGTCGATCAATCCCAGAAGGATGCGCCGTGCATTCGACTTCATTAGGCGTCGTTCGGAGTTGATTGAATGCATATCTGGCCTTTACAATGATTCGTGGTGGCTTACCGATTATCGAGCCAGTGCTGCTATCCTTCCAGGCAAGTCTGGTACCAATTTGCCGACCCCGGGGGCATAGAAGGCTTGGTGGGCCATGGGCGCAGGGATCGACTCCACGTGTGTGTTGTAGGGCGCCTCCGACCACTGCACTACTCATTCCCTGTAGCCGTTCGTTCTATATAAGAACTCTAATTGACTGCTATCGTAACCCCACTCAAAAAACAGCTTTGCCAACATTATGACGACATCATCACTTTTTCCAGAAGTACCAGTGAAGAATGGACGGTGCTGAGTGAGTTCAATGGAAAAAAAATTGTAGCCCTACGTATAAACCGGAAGGAAACCAAATTCGTAAAAACCTATGGTGGGAAGGTGAATAAATCGGATAGGTGGTTCCTTGATTATAAATACCTCTTCGCACACTTACCGTGGATATACGGTGAACATGGAAAACAACAAGAACATAAAGGAGGAATTATGTAGAGGAACAACAGCACTGCTTCTGTACAACCCTCTCAGTAGAAATATTTCGAAACCGACATTCCTTTAACCCCGGTGTGGCTAATCAGTAGAGTCGAAACCAGCTTCATGTACTGTAACTCTGCGCTTACCTCCTCGATTCAACGATCCATACTACGATGCTGCAGACTTGGGTTAATATTTCAATCACATGGAAACTCCGCACTCTATCCGTAGTGCTCGAAGGATGAATCCCGAGGTTTAACCAGTACACTCAACATCTACCCCAAAATATGTAGTCCAGACATTTAGAGTTTGTTCTTTCTTCGAGGCCCTCAAAGCACATCGATAGCGAAGCCCAAATGAGCTGGCCACACACTACGTAGATGGAAGGAAAACAACTGCAAAATAAATTCCAAAAAGATACAAGCGCTTTCTGGGACGACCAACTACACGATAGGAGTACGTGTTCATGGCTCACAATAACTATTTGCATTCAGAGCTGCAAACGATTAATAGATCACATAATGTGCCTCGCGGACGTCACCATATTCTAAACCACTACAGACAGCCTCTGCACGAAAAAGAAACGAATGGGAAATGATGTATTCTGGTCCGGGTACCCGTAAAGAAGAGCTCTCCAAGTACGCAAATAAGTATCCTAGCTACTGTTCGTGCAGGATGTCACACAACACCACATTCAAGTACTCGAACGCTTTAGAACCTGACAATTCTCACCCTTAATAATGATATGGTTTCGTCATCGTTTTGGAGACCTTAAGAGTAGTTCGAAAACCCTTCCTTAGATAAAAGCACTTCATTTGATAGCCTAAGGACGTGTTCAGTGAAAAGTATAACACTTCACTAAAAAAAAAACTACTGAAATCAGTTACTAGCGAATCCATATGTTACTGCCAAAACAGCTAAAAGTAGCCCTCACTATAACATAAATGACGATAATCCATTTAATAATTTTGACAGAAAAACTATGCAATAAATAAGGACAACGTTGCTATCAAGTACTATGTTAATATTTCGAATTGAAACTCGTCGAACGAACAAGTAGAAAAAACGAAGAGACAGTCATCAGAATAGGGAAATATACCCTTAAATGACAGAGGAGTAAATAACATTTCACAAATATACATACTATCATTAATGGCTAAAAAGTAATATCACATTTAATAAATTGGAAGACACTCGTGTATACTCGATTTCAGAAAGAAACAGTCCGGCTAAGTAATTTCTAGATGTTATATACAAGCGATCCATAATATAAAATGAATGTAAACGAACACGAAAACAGGCAAGTGAATTGAGGAAGGAAAACCAAGTGAATCAAATAATTACAGAATTAAAGTGGAAAGCAATTTCGGTTCAAATTTTACAGAAGGGCTACAAACCAGTTTTTTCCATAGGAGGAGGTTGAGAATGTAGCGGTGGTGGGCTGAACATGCCTTCTGTAAGATAGCCGGCGACCCCAGCTGATGTACCTTTAAGTAGCACATAGAATTATGAAGGCAAAAATTTAAAGGAAGAAACTTCTAACACTATAGTAATAAGTTCCCAATTTAAAACCTTTGAAAATATTACTTTAAGAAATATTAGAAAACTCCCCACGGTTTGGCGCCTCATCGTGGCTGGGAGGTGCTCCTGGGTGCCGGACTGCTATGTACAGCGGGGGGATTCGTACCCCCAGCAGGGTCTTCCAAGCTCAAATGGAGTCCAGCGTTTCCACCAGGAAGCCTAGCTAAGAGGGAACCAATACCAGGATCCACCACCGTCCTGGTATCAAAATCGCATGGTGGTAAATCTCCCTGTGATCCACAAGTGCCGCGAGTGCCCCGTGGTCGCGAAGACCTGGGGCAAACTTTGGCCAGGCTGCCCTCGGGAGTCCAGGGAACCACAATGGCTAAACCAGCAAAACGCTGATAAATGGTGATTATACTGGTATCAGCACAACTAACGAGGACGAGCCGTTCAAGTGTCAAGTGTGTCAAATGTCAAAAGTGCGAAGGATTTTAAAGTTAACTTAACTTAAAATTGTTTGAATAAATCACAAAGACTCGAAAAATATCTAACCCGTAATCGCATGCGTACGAGATGCTGGTAAAAACAAATCGTGACGTTGATCACGGTACTGAGACCACACAGGTGAACGATTCAGAATCTCCGTTACCTTCTCGCCCACTTGCAAATCCAGACACGCACTTTTCAACGCGTCTACGATTTCAGCACAAGCCGCTGGCGATGCTACACCTGAAGGATAATTAACGCTAGACAGTACTAAACGTAATACAACCACAATGATGCTGAGATATTTACAAAACTCTGGACCGCAGGTGCCTGCGGTGTGGAACGAACGCGCTAATACTCTTTTCGGAGGCTAACGCGTTCATCACCACTTCATCCGGGTCCTTCGTTTCGCCTACCTCTCAGAAAAATCAACTAAAAGTGATTTTGTCATCATACTAAACCATCCACATGGAAAGTGTACATGCGTGCCTTCCCAGACAAAAAATTACAGTGAAAAGCACCAATAGGATGTCAAATCTACATTTAAGTCTTGCAATCCATTAAAAAAAACGAATACAGTCTCCACAAGTCTCGCACGTTGCTACTACTAAAAGGGGGTTCTGAAATATTTTCAGAGAACATAAGTACACTAATTAATCTATTTATTCCCACCTTACTAAAAAAGCTAAAGACAAATTTTTCAGCCAGCAAATGAAGTACCAACCGCTGCAAGGACGCCTTGCCCACCCAAAGTAGATCATATAAAGGATAAAGGATAAAGGATAAATCTCTCGACGTTGATCAATCCCTTAGAGACGCCCCATACATTCGACTTCTTTGAGCATTGTTAGAGGTGACTGAATACATATCTGGCCTTTACAATGACTGACGGTGGCGTGCCGATGTATCGAGCCAGTGCTGCTATCCTCCCAGATAGGTTTGGTAAGAATTTTCCGACCACGGATGGATTGATGAGTCTGGGTGCAAGAATGGATTGCATGTATATTGCATGACGCCTCCGAGCACTACACTAGACACATCCTGCCCCACCGCATTAAACAGTAGTGATTGTATATACTTACCAGTAATATCGCCACGAAGAACACCAAGAAGGTAGTCAACCATCTTCGTCGACAACATTTGCGCCGCCAGATCTCCATTGTTTCTTCTCATAAGGCACTTCAGTGCATGTGCAGATTCATAGATTAATGCTGTAAGGTTGTTTATTTTTCGATTGTTCATATAACAAGAAACAATAAAGTTCTCCAACAGATAAACTGAAAAATTTCATTTTTTCTTAGAGTTTTTTTTCCAAGCAATTCCCAAAATCGACTTTCTATTAACCTCGGCATTGATTGATAATTCGATGTTTTTCTTCAATAAGCAGACACGAGGGAATAAACTTAGATTCTCGCATTTTTCCCTTGGCTTTGGAGCATCTTCCAGTAGCGTCCGTTGTTCCCCCAATAATTGTGATGGGTTTTAATGTAAATGCGAGAGTAAGCTCTCATTCTACTCTTGAAGTTTTGCCTACGGTTATTACGGTTGGTTAGGGTACTGGGCCAATTTACCACAAGGTTACCGAAACTCTCGTTGTGCACTCGAAACAGGTTATCACTTACTAGGCTGATTTTTCATAGACGTCATTATCCCTTCAATGCAATTAGTGTGGGAGAGTGCATCAGCGCAATACTGAAATATAAAGGATTTGCATTAATTTCAAAAAGGATTGTAACCAAATTGTTTAAAGCCGACAACAACTACCGAGTTCTCAAAACTTACGGTTAAAATATAAAAAAGATAAAGCTTTTAGTGTTGATCAATCTCTGAGCGATTGAGATGCACTCGACTTCATTAAGCATCGTAGGAGGTGATTGAATCCACGTTTAGTCTTTACAATGACTCCTGGTGGCCTACCGATATGTCCACCCAGTGCTGCCATCCTCCCAGACAAATCTGGCACCAATATGCCGATCCCAGAGCGATCGAATGCCTGGTGGGCCAGAGGCGTTGGGAACGATCCCATGTGTATTGTATGACGCTTCCGACCACTGTGGCACACGCGTCCTTGAACTTACGGTAAACAAAACAAAAAACCTTTAAACGTACATGGTTTTCAGCTAGTTGTTGAAGAATAAGAATAGCTGAACGCGATGTTTGTGGATCTTTGGCTGACATTGCTTTGCAAAATTGAGGAAGATAACCTTGGGCTGGAAGCTAAAACACGCGAAAATGGCGAATATTCAAATCTTCAGTGAACAAGGAACAAGAAATGTCTTTGAGCAGAAATAGCTTACTTGATCCGCTGCATTCGGAAAATTTCGAAGAAGCTCGACAAAAGCCGTTGTTACTAGTGTTAAATCGCCGTTCGGATTATTCATCAATTCAAGGACCCTGAAAGGATATCTCAATAATCTAATTCTGGTAAAAACGATCGCAGTGTAACTCACTTCTCGATAAGTTCAGTTGTAAACTGTCGTGGATGTCGCACGGCCCAAGCTGGGTTAGCAACGTAAAGCCGCAAGAATACTCCACAGACAACTAGTTCGCCAGTTAGAGAGTCGCCATAGGCGCACATATCGTCCGACAGAGAACTCTGATATATTTAAATAGGAGATCGTTGTATTTATACACTGAGCACATTCTCTGAATAAAGAATAAAATTTAAAAAAAAAAACTCCCGGCGCTGACCAATCCCTGAGGGATGCGCCATGTATTCGACTTCATTAAACATCGCTAGAAGTGAGTGAATACATATCTGGCCTTTACAATGATTCGCGTTGTCCTACCGATGTACCAAGCCAGTGATGCTATCCTCCTAGACAAGTCTGGTATCCACTTGCCTATTCCTGAGTGATGAAATACTTGGTGAGCCTGGAGCACTGAGACCGATCCCATGGGTACTGCAGAGTGCCCTAGACCACCGCGCAACACGCTACCTTACATAAAGAATAGCGTATTGAAATACCTGACATATTCCACTGGATGTTTGCATAGTGACAGTAAGGGAAGAAACAGATCTTAAAGACTCCACAGACTTCGTAGCGATTCTCTATCGGCTACCATCTAGCCTTGACTACAAACAACCTTCACCGTTGTTATAAGAGCAACAAGTGCTAAGAGGTGCAATGTTTCTAGAGGATATTTTAGGAGCACTTCAATGTGATAACCTTCAACACACGTGCTTTGATCACCTATTAATTAACCCATTCACGACAACTAATTTTGAAAGAACGACCAGTAATTTTAAACGTTTACGTACTTGTTGGTTTTCTGGCAATAAACGATAATTATTCGATAAACAGAGAACTTTAGGAGTTGAGAACATAGAAAAATTTGAGAAGAAACTCTTTTCTATCGTTTTCTGGGTATGTACGGTATTATTGCTATTACCATAGTGCACCATACAAACACATTGCTCCCAGAATCTGAAGAGTTTTGCAGCTTATTTTGGGTTTAACAAGGTATCCACATACTGGCTCAATCCATACGACAGCTATGACTCATTGTATCGACTAGAACTGATAAAGCAATCAATTTACTCAGCTATGTTTACATGGGCCACTATCCATCTACAGTACTGACCCCAGCATTTGCATTCGATTCGGTCCTTCGCATTCGCCAACCCTAAAGTTCTTCGAACTTTTCATGTGTCGCTTCGACTCGTGCTTGAGGATTTAGCTTTTTTTTATGGACGTCGTAGAATTCTGCTTGTGTCGATTCTCTTTGCAATCTTGCAGATAGCCGAGCTAAAGCGTTCCAATGAGGATTGGAGGATATCGTTGGAGAGAAAGTTGAATAGCACCTTGCTTCCTAATGGACTGCACTACTAACCGAGAAAGTAAATGGCCCCTATATAGCTCATAACTCGTTGTGAATGAGTTAAAGGAATCGGGGTAGAAAATTATTGTAATTGTTAGCACAAGCTGAAAAGTCATTCTTAGGTGGAATTTTGTTACGAGATTAATTACTGCAACAAGGGAAAAAAGAGTCGGTCTACGTACTATGTCCCACTTATGGTTAGGGTTAACGGATTGCGCGCGATAAAGTTCTTCCATTCCTTGCTCGATAACACAACGAACTTTAGTGCGTGTTGCTTCATTCCAAATTAGCTCAGGGTTCTCGTTTGTTGAGTCGAACATGGTAATGCTGAAATTAACATCTTAAGGATATAGGAAGTAGCAACGTAGAAAACTGAAAATTTTTCTAAAACTGCCAACGACATTTTAGATTGACACATTGTATTTAAAAAAATGATGTCATAAAAACTACTCAGCACACATTTAAAGTGGACTACAACAAATCATGAAAGAAAATTAAGGAACTATAGCATGAATCGGAAAACAGTTTAATTTCGTACAACATAAAATCTTACGCGGTGTTTGGTGAATCGCGAAGGGCATCGGCAAATATAGGTGGAAGAAATTTGGTAATAAAACGTGTCCAGCGAGGACCGGTCAGTTTGTCGGACTGTAATGACCATCTGGTTGATAAAAAAAATGGAACATTGCACAAGAACATTCATTATCGTTTACATCAACTGGAACTTTGAGAGAGAAACGTTACAGTACAACCAGAAACTAGCACCGAAAAATGACACAAAGTTGTGAACTTGAAAGAAGAACAATAACCTGCAGCTTCGTGAGCAATTCTGCTGACAGTAATCTATCGTCGGAATCACTCTCTGAGCAGCACAGTGTGGAAAGAATATACAATAGTCCACCTAAAATCACATATATATGCACAAAAATACATGTATATAAATATATGTACATGTATACACAGATGCGTATATGTATGTGTCTTCCCAACGGTTCACCACCTCATCGTGACTGTGAGGTCTTCCTGGTTGTCCGGCTGCAATGTGGAGAAGGCGGACTCACTCTCTAGCAGGGCCTCTCAGGTTGAGAACGAGTTCGGCGTTTCCACCGGGAAGTCCAGCTAAGCGTATACCAATACCAGAACCCACCACCGACATGGGATCAAACTAGTCGCACAGTGGAAAATCTCGCTCTGATCCACAAGGACTGCGACGGGCTGTGGCAGTGACGACCTAGCGCAGACTTTGGCCGGGCTGACCTCGGGACTCCAGGGAACCACAATGCTAAACAACAAAACTCCGAAAAAATGGAAATTATGCCTGCACAACCAGTGAGGACGGGCCATCAACCAAGTATCCAACTATGTGTATGTATAATATGTGTAATATATATATATATACATATGAATCAGAAATAACAGTAAAGAACGAGGAAATTCTACCGTATTCAAGCATTTCTTTCACTATTTGTCCATTGGAGCATAGTGCTATTAATGTCTTTAGAACGATAGAACGAGCTGGAAAATGATACATCTCGTATTTACGCGCTCAAAAACATGTATTTATATTGATAAAAACATGTACCAACGTTCAATATGATATAAAGAAGTAGCAGAAAGAATTACCAGCAAGAAAGCCAACAAAAATTTGCACAAAACCCAAGTTTATACTAAATTCTACCTTCTCTTCTCTCCTTCATCAATGTGAAAAGCGAAGAACATGCACAAACGTTCGATAGGTCTTTAACGCACTCGCGATTTGCCGCAACCAAGGAAAGCAACTGAAATGCGTTCACTAAAATCACAGTGAAAAACAGCAATGTAAAAACTAACTTTGAGAGTAGCCATTTGAATGTTCGGGAATAATCGAGCTCGGAGATAGGCGGCGATTAGGTGAAAATGACCGATGAAAAGAATTTCTACTCCTATAAAAATCCCGCTAAGTTGATCGATTGAGTTAGTAGCTAGTAGTTAAGAAAATGAGTACAAAGTAATTGCAAATATTACGATGAAAAAAGAAAAATTTCGCTCTTGACAACTACAACACAGGAGTGATAAGCACTACAGTACTTCACTACGAAAAACTTACTGATTTCCTCAATCATCATGGAAACTAGAAGATGTAAGAGAACATTAAAAAACGCATAATATCTCAACAACTCGCAGATTAAGGTCCAGAACAAAAGGGTTTGAATTAGTGTGAAGTAGTTGACTTATTATTAGAGCGCTGAACGAAAAACATTGAATATGGACGCAAAAAGCATGGAAAAGTTGCAAATTCACCAACCCGGGTTCGCGGAAATCAAATTTGCGAGCGCTTCAATACACATTTCAACTTTTTCATCCGTTGTCATTTTGCTCGCATTAGATGACCAGTCGATTTCTATCAAATCGCCATTTTCTGGCTTCTTTTGCCCTGTTAGTTCTGCCGCGTAGCGTCCTATGTAATCTAAGATATCCATAGCTGTTTTTTTCGGTTCCTAAAAACACTGGCCTAGTTACTAGTGTTAGCTGTGTATAAAAATGGTTAAGTATATATATATATGTATATATATATATATGTCGCAGGATTTTTACCAGGACGGGGAACGTAGGTTGCTCATTATAGATCCGTATAAAAACGTCTCCGACAATAAGTTCTTTTGAGTGGATCGAAAGCTTGAATTCAGCACCAAACAGCTCACTCTAAAATGTGATACTGAAATATGGGCTAAAATTCATTACAGGATAAGCTCAAAAACAATGTCATAAGTGATAATGTGGTACCGCCTGCTCTCTTGAAGAACGATGCCGTTCGACAAATTCCAAAACTTCAGCGCGAGTAGCGTTATCCCAAATGAGATATGGGTTCTCCGTGTTGCTATTCAAAACTTTCAAAACCTAAACTACGACGAAAAAAAGTAAGATTCAAGAAAACCATCGAAAACACGAGCATCGGTGAGGTGTCACTTTCTACCGTTATGAAGTTATTGTAAAGATAAAACGAGATTTAAATAAAATATCGAAACGGATGAGATGTATCACAACATTGAAGATGCCTACATATCATATATCATATATCATATGAACCACAATATATTTGAGTTTTGATATAACATGCTTCCATTATTATTTCCTAAAAACTGGGTTCTTAAACACTAGCTGCAGTAGCTCAATCTTATGGAAAACAAAAATGACGAAAGCACATAACGAACCATGTCATTGCTTTCCGTTCGCATACAACGACATACGTATGGTGTAAGAAGTGCTCGTAAACTATTTTGGACACCATCATTGTCTGGAGTACCCTCTCTAAAAAGTTTAAATTTCCACGCAAAGAAATTGCATTATGTTTCGAACGCATCAAATAGTGTATAAGAACTAATTTCTTAATGACAAAATATTATGGCCATTCAGTGTGAACAGAAGAGAACAAAACGAAACTAAGCATTACATCTTTTGATCTTGGCGGATATAGAGATCTACTGTTCATAAAACCAACCACCGATTTGTAGAAAATTCAGTATACCCGAAAATTCTGAAGCAGTTTGAGACATCCGACGATAACTGAGAAGTTCCTTACCTAAATCCAGCCAAACATGCAAGTGCTTCACAGGAAACTCGTGCTAAGCGGTTAGCCAATGCTTGCTTGTTCGAATTCTCACTATGAGAAACACCTGAACACAAAGACCAATGAAAATTGTAATGATGTAGTAAAAATTTTAGCACAAACCGCCTTCATCGAGTGTGAAATCGTAATGGAACAGATGTGGAACAAGCTGCCATAGTACACCTGATTGAAAGAGTTGTGTCTGTAAGAGAGTGCACACGGCCATAGAGCATACACATTTTGCTGCGGCCGCTGACAAACGAGGAAGGTGCTAAATAAAGACATTTTTAGAATGTTTAGTAAACAAATAATCCTATTAATCGCTGCTTGCCCTTAACACACAGCGAATACAATAACAATTCAAGAGACCGACTTTCCATAAACCACGGCATAAATAATCGATATGCTTATTTATATGTTCATATGAACTGATCTTGTTGAGCTGATACCAGGTTGGTACAAGTTGTTGCTGTTGTCGTTAGTGTTCTTGGTCAATAGCCGACGTTTCGGCTTTTTTCTGTTTGCGTCAGTTTGCGTCAGTCCTAGTCGTCCCAATCGAGTGGGTCGGTGTGATATTAAGAACAAGTTAAGAATGTTCCATCACGGGAAGCCGAAATAGCCGAAACGTCAGGAAACGACCAACAACATTGACAATAAAAGGAAAACAAAAACGACTATACCAACTTCGAGTCAGCTCAACAAGATCAGTTTATACAGACATGCAAACAAAACAATTGTTTGACAATGGAAATGAAAAAAAAAAGGAAAAAGGAACGCTGATCTTAACTCATAATACGGCACCTTTCCAAACACAACATCTGCTGCTAACTATACTGCAAAGAACCCACCGGAAACTGCAGCAGACGACAAATATTGCCAAATACTGCCGGCATTTCTGCGATCCGCTGACGACAAGCTTCGAATCCTGCAGCGGTGGCAAAGCAATTACAGATATGCTCACATACCTAGAAATTACGGAAAATGTAGAACTGCATGCTCATCATAAAGTATTGAAAATATTTGAACATAAAAAATTGCCTAAGGCAAGAAAAAACTTCAATGTTATGACATACTTGTACTGGCATATCAGCCGGTGACGAACTCAATGTAATCACTGGAACGCAACGATCAAAAGCTGTTTCCAGTACCTGAACCGGAAGTTCCACAAAGTAAAAAAATTAGACAAGAAATACGGAAGAACTGAGAGCATGAGATGCTTGCTTCATCCCTAAAGCTGTAATGACAGGTTTTTTTTTTAAAATAGCCTATAAAACTCCGCTCTTCGTAGCTTCTCAAGGACGTTTGTAAACAGTCGCTTGAAGGGTGTGGTGAAATAACAAGGACAACTATGTCGAATGTGCAGAAAATCATACTCTTAACATAGGCGATAATCAAAATTAATGCGAATTTATAAATAACCTCAAGCCCTTGTTCCCTACGCAGTTGTTCTGCATTTAATGCACTACTCATCAGCGTATAGTTTGAAAGCTCCACAGCGGCACTTAGTAGGGCACCACCACCTTCTTGAAAGAGTGATGAATTTTTGGCCTCATATTCGATTGTGCGAACCAGCTGACCGTAACCTGCATACTTGTACGCAGACAACTCTAAATAGAAATACCTCGTCATACAAATTAAAACAATCGTCGAAAACAAGACGAAACAGTGATACATATACATATATATGTATATGAATATATATATATATAAATATATAACGCGTATACATATATAAATATTCATATATATGCACATATACATAGCACAAAACATACAGATACATATGTATATACCGTAGTATATCTATGGTACATACTACTCGTATACATAGTCGAGTGTAACCCAGTGGTTAGAGGCGCCCTACAATACACATGGGATCGATCTGTTGCCATAAACCCATCGAACCTTCTATCTCTTCGGAGTCTCCAAATTGGCACCAGACTTGCCTGGGAGGATAGCAGCACTGACTCCATATATCAGTAGGCCACCGCGAGTCATTTTATACCCCAGATAAGTACTCTACCACCTCTAACGATGCATAATGAAGTCAAATGCATGGCGCATCCCTCAGAGATTGATCAACTCCGACAGTTTTATCCTCTCTCTATATATATCTATATAAAATATAAATATAAATACATAGATATGCATGTATATATATATATATGTCTCTCATAGTTCTAATTTATAAACCATTAGCACTACTCTTCGCAGACCAGTTCCTCGACAATTGACAGAGTCCAAAGTGACTGACACAGAACTAGTCCTTTCTTCCCGGTTTCATTTAAGCAGCTACTGTTAATTGGATGACGAGTGATATACAGAACGACGGGTATAACACGGTTTAAGAACGTAAATATGGTTGAAACTGAGCCAAAAAGCGAACGGAATCCAGTCCTAGAAACAAATACTCTAAAGAAGTAAGCATGCGAGAGACGGGTAGCGCAGTTATATTGATGCCTTTCACCACGAGAAAGGTGCTAGTTCAATTCCACTTCGGGTCCACCAAGCGTATCATCACCAAGAGTCGGGAAAGTGGTACTGGACTTGTATGGTGAGAAATCACTCTCTGCAATCCAAGTGGGAGTGCTCTAGTACGACTACCTCAGGACACCACGAAAAATCGACTCCACTGGTATTCAACGACATCCATAAATAAGTAAAAAATCCTCAAGAAGAATCCAGACCAAAACACGTAAGTTCGGAAACTTTCGTGGATGATGGACGCGAGGAAACAAATCGAATGTAGGAAGTGCTGGGATTCCCACAGTAGGTGTGAAGACAGGTCGTGTAAGAAAAACGAGTGGAAAACGATAAGCTTTAAAAGCTTGCAATTCCTCAAATATTTATGACGGTTATTTGTACAAACACTAGGATAAAAATAACCTTAAAAAGACTAAAAACTGACTCCACCTTGACTGTAACGACTGTAAATAATGCTCTGCGCTTGAAGAAATAGAACTATGCGTTGTGGATCCGGCACTGATGATCGACCATCATCACTGGACAGTAGTTCATACGCTGTGTTTATACGTTCAAAGATTTCACGTCCTTCTGGATTTTTGTCTGGATGATAACGTGCAGCTAACTTGAAGTATGCCCGGCGAATCACAGAAGCCTCCCTCCATCTAAAACTCTACAACTAATTAAACCAATAAACCTAACATATCCATGGAAAATCCCATAGGCCCCACCAAAGACAACCAGAGTTACTGAACAACGAACCCTTCTTCCTCTGTGTTTAAACCAAGTGTTTCACAGGCTTGCTCAATCGACATTACAAGAGGTTTCTTTTCCAATTCCTCGAACCAAGCTGCCAAGCAAGCTCGTAAAAATGGAATCTGTATAGACGGAAAGTGAATAAATCAAGAAAGTAATGACTGACTAGGTGCAATAGGATTAAATACCTCCTACGAAGTTGTAAACTTACCGGATCTCTTATAACCCAGTCAGGAAAACGTTGGTGATCACAAAGATGACGCAAATAATAAACATAGCAAAACAATTCGTTGTGAAGCTCCGGATAATTGATCATTGGTATTGGACAGTACTGATATAAGGCCTGGAATATTTCATAATGAAAACAGAAGTGGACACAATTTTTCAACTCCCAACTTTATTCATAAGGAAATTATGTGCGATACAACCGCAAGAATGCCGAGTTATTTGCAAAACTCCAGACCTCACGCATATGAGGTGGGAAACGAACGCGCTATTACTCTTTTCGGGGCCTAATGCATCCACCACCACACCATGCGGGTTCTTCGTTTCCCCTGTTCACCTTATGTTAGATGTTTTACCTGTGCTCACCTTTACGTTAGACGTGAGACGATGGGAGAAGTCCGACACGTGCATAGCAATGCGTTCAATAAGATGTCGTCTGAAGAAGCATATATCACAGGCTCTTTTGCATAGTGATAACATTGGGATAACGATATACAGGAATATCCAATTCTTAGCTATTTTATGAAAAATGCGTGAACTTCCGAACGGACAAAGAACACTTGACTATGCAACTTTGGCTTTTATGTCTTATTAATGATAAATAATCAATATGACGATAAAAACATTACGCTGTGGGAAACGACAGAATTCATAAAATCATAGTAATATTGTGCTACAATTATGGGAATCGAGAGCTAAGCGGCCCAAAAGCCGAATTTAAGCCTCAAATACTACGCATTCGATAACGTTAAAAAATTCTACCTCATTTGGGTGCTCCAAATTATTTCAGGATTGTCAAACTCTCCTAAGAAAACCTCCGCATATTTTTCTGGTCCGTATTCATCAAGGTAAAAAATAGCAGCAGCTGGTAGCATTGGCGCTAGAATGGACTGCGACGATCCTTCCAGTTGTGGCTGTAATGAACATCCAATGAAATTAATGACACCTACGCGATGTTTACACATTGTGGAAACTCCACCACCTACCAAAGCGCTTCTGAAAGCTTGCTTCCTGTGCGTATAATGCAAAAATCTGGCGACTGGAAGAACATTCGAACCGTTATACATGAGAATAAAGAAAAACACACCAGAGAGATACAAACGGGAAAGAAAAGGATTATCCTGAAGTTAAACAACACGAAAATAAACTCAATACTTTAAGCCACAAGGTATCTAGAAAAAATGTCAATAATTACACAAACTACCTGCATAACTAAATACAACAAAGTAGCAACCCGTTGCACGATACTCGGATCATAAGTAAGCAGAAGTTGAACAATTTGATAGAGTAATACGGGCTCTGTGAGGTTTTTCTTAACATGTGGCATAGGACGGATAATGCTGTTATTTTCATCCCTTAACAAATGTAGTAAAAATGCCACAATTACCAACATTAAATGCCAGAAAAACAAAAAAGCTACGTAGCCCAAAATGTAGTTCTCTTCGTGCTGCGAAAATAATAGGATAAACTTTTCCTAAAATAACAGAAACACCTACCTTGACGGAAAAAATTCGCACATACGAATCATTATGTCCAAACACAATACGCATAACTGTGTAAAATTGTACAGTGATGTACCGACCTGAAAAATGAGAAGCATCACGTAAGAGCTTGAGAAAAAATCTGATAAAATAGGCAAAAAAGAAATGTTGTAAAGTAATACACCAAAGGATAGAGGATAAAGCTCTCAGCGTTAATCAATTCCTGAGGGATGCGCCATGCATTCGACTTTATCAAGCATCGTTGGACGTGAATGAAAGCATATCCGGCCTTTACGTCGACTAGCAGTGGCCACCGACGTATCGAGCCAGTGACGCTATCCTCTCAAACAAGTTTGGTACCAATTTGCCAACCCTAGATGGATGGAAGACTTGATGAGCCTTAGACACGAGGAGCGATCCCATATGTATTCCAGAGCGCCTTCGACCACTGCGCTACACGCACATTGCTACGCTATAGGTAAAAACTCTAAAAAACTAACAGTAGTTTAGACTTCGACCGACACAACGAGAAAGACCTGCTAAATATTTTTTTGAAAGACTCTAAATTACCTTTTGTCCTAAGCACACAGTCCAGCGAAACTGCGGCACTTTGCTCAGAGGTTCCCACTTTTCCATTCCGGCTGCCCAAACTGCTGTCTTCTCGAATATCTTCTTCTCTCCATACAACGATTTCATCTGATAACAATGAGTGCACTTGCATATATTAAAAACTTTTTACAGAAACGTATTGAACTATTTATGACAAATACGAATTAAAACACGCTGAAAACCTGCCTACTGTTTTTCACCGTCGATTGAAAATGCAATAAAGTAGAAAACTACGGAAAATAACCTTCTCAAAGGAAAAAGGTCCAAACCGATCACTATTCTGCTCATTGGCAGCGTAGTACCATTCCAATGAGTTGCCCTCACTGAGTTGCGCAGAACTCGCCTCTATCACATTTGTCTGGAAGCATTTTACACTAATGCTTGACGTATTCTTGACGAAATGATTTTCATCCAGCACTTGTTTCACACCAAAAGTAGTTAGTGGAGGGAATACAAACGTACGTAATAAATGTAGATTTCAGCGTCTAGTAGGGAAAAAATAGAAAAAAACGGAAAAAACATTTGTTGAAGATTTCTAACGGCTTGAAACAGTGTATTCTCTCATATCTTTCGACTGCTTAGATTACTCATAATTGTATCATCACGTCTACAGCACCTGCCGTTAAAACTGTAAACTGGCCATGTTATAAATATTAAAGAAATAACCTATAATAAAGCTAAAAACAACCCAATAAATACAAAAGTGGAAAAAACCTGATTTTGAATTTTCGCCCGTTGGACATGAAGGTGAGCAAGAACGGCTAGATCGACAAGGATAGGTAGGAGCTGAGAGGCAATGAGCTCTCGAGCGTTATCTTTGTTTAATACCAGTTTTGAGATCAGTAGAATCTGAAAGATTTGGTCATGAGTGGAGTCAAAAGAGGTAAAGTGATGAGTCAAAAGTCATATATCGTCTTCAAAAGACGAAAATTAGTATAGGTAAATAAACGGAAAAGTATGCAAATATAAACACACGAAGTGGTCCCTTTCTGCAACATTGGTGCATTTTGCCAGCATGTTCACAAAGTGACGAGCGTCATCAAAAGTTCCGATTGTCATGTGGTGACGTGCATACGTAACAGACATCGCATGTAAGCAAAGACACCTCATCTCACTACGTGCCGATAGTAAAAACCGATGGTACACGTTATTAAAAAACTCGGTCCTTAAAAACAAAACTGTCTGCAGAGATCTGAGAATCAAAAGCACGTGAAACTTACGGATTATGAATTGGAGTGGCTGTTTCATCGGCCTCTTGTAGCAGCAGTCGAAGATAGTAGTCGCCAATCTTTACCTCATCCTGGAGAGACGCATAGCGCGTCTAGAACAGATATTTCACGAGGTTTCAAGACACATAGACATAGACAAGTATAATATTGTAGAAATCTAAAAATTAAGCAGAAACTACACGGAGGACTTCGCTGGGATCTCTCAACGACAAATTCTACCACTAGATTCCTATCACGAATTAAGAAATCATTCTAAAAATGAGATACGAACACGTAAGAAGCACAGTAAACATATTTTTATCAACCAGACCTGAAATTCTGTATAATTCCAAGAAATAGGCATATCTGCAGGAGCTTGCTCCCTCTCATTCAAAAGTGCTCGTAGCTCATTTTCTATTGAAAGCCTGGAAAAATAGATATTCGTGACCACATCGTGACTCTTAGTAAACTTGTAACAAGTTCTTTTGGAATCTTTGAAGCATCAGAAAATAAAACAGAAAGAAAAGTGCTTCCGAATCGGATTTATTACAAGAAAAAAAAAACAACTGTTAAGCCCCAGAATAAAGGAATATGAACACTTATCAGCATTTCGGAAGATCCGACCACAACAAACACAGTAGTTAACCACAACGATGTTGAAACATTCCTAAAACTTGCACCTCGAACCAGATCGAATCACGATTATCCTTTCGGGGGAATCGCGTATTACACACCGCCACGGAATCCCTTACCTTCCGTTTCTCTCAGGTACCTTTCTACCTAACGCTGCCATTAGCAATCTCCCGTCAGCGGGATTGATGTGGGGAGCACGGATCGGCACTGAACCCAGTTTAACACAATAGCTCCAGTCACCGCTACTCACCTAAACTCTTCTCTCGTTTTTTCGTTCCACAGTAGATCTGCCTGTGAGTGATCTCGTGCGAACTGATAAGCAAAAAGTCTCCAATTCACAGAGTTTCTGATACGCTGCCTTCTTTTCCGGAGTGTAAGAGGTCGTTGCCGCTGCCTGTCCTTGAAACACTAACTTCGAGAAAAAAAAAAACTTCTCGGAAATGTTCTTAGAAATTTATAACAAAGTACTTCCGAATACAATTACAATTGTCTTACATCTTGTTTACGAGGTAAAAAATTGAGTTTCTGCTCAAGATTCCAGTGCTGAATAAACCTTTCAAGGCTAGCTTCTGCCATTACCCTGTAAACAGTGCAATGTACAATTGGTTAATATATAATTATAATAATACATAAAAGTTGATATGTAATCTAATAAAGACCTACGTCGAAAAATAGAATTTGGCCACTCTACCTATGCACGCTAATTAGGAACATGCAATTACGGAAAATTATGTAAACTACAAAAGAAATTGAATGACGTGACGATTAGTCGAACGAAAGTAACTTTAGAATCTTCAAATGGAAACTGAAAAGGCAGTCTATCTACGTTAAAAAAGCAATTAACAATATGTTCTATAAAAAAAGCTACAAACAATTACAAAGAGCCGACTAAAGAAAACAAACATGCCTAAAACTTTCAATTTTCTCTTGGAGTGCACTTTGCCGTTGCTCGTTAGCTGCCGCTTCCAGGTTATTTCTTGGAATTAGTAAATTCGCTTCACTTACAGGTACGGTGGCGCTTGAATCAAGGAAGTCCAGTAGTCCACGGGGCTAAAGTCTTCGCTTGCATTATCGCAGGAAACAACTAGTTCAGAGTCAAATCATCAGGTAAAAATGTTCAATTAAGAAACAAAATAAAATTGGCATAATAAAATGAGCACCTACTAGGCATCGGTTTAAAAGATCAGTTGCTGGACGATTATCAGCGAGCCAAAGTCCGATTAGGTGCCCACTTAGCTGCTTATTTGTAAGAACCTTAAGAATGTATATTTCAGAGGTAACAACTTCCAAAGTCAAAAAGAGATACAAGGCAAGAAATCGAGTTCTAGCCTCAAGATCTTTTCCTGTAGTTAACAGTGCCAATCGTAAATGTGTTAGAAATGCGCCTTCTGTAAGCGCTAACATTTGCATCGCTTTTGACGTCTCTATATCAGATTCTTCAATGATAGCACGCATCACCATTCCAGCACCTAAAACTGATCGACCTCAAATGGTCAAACACAGCAAATGTTCCTTCTTTCGTATCCCTTGTGATACGAATCAGATACAAAAATGCAAAATAAACACTGGTGTTTAGTTGTTATTTACTGCCTATTACAATTTTTCAAGGCAGGATATTATGTGCCACACAGCCACAAAGGCGTTGAGATAATTGCAAAACTCCGGACCGTAGATGTTTGCGGTGGGTAATGAACGCGCCATTACTGTTTCCAGGGATTAACGCGTTCACCACCACACTATGCGTGTCCTTCGTTTCGCCGTTCTCTAGTGTTGAAATTAGTTCATCATGTTCTAAACTAAAGTTCATTAAAAAGCCAACTAACCCTTAACAATTGTCATGCTAGGGCACTGAAAAAGACGATAGAAGCTTTGTCCTCGTGCGGCAACCAACCGTATTATCTGATCGAATTGTTCGCCGCTAGTCGTTTCACTGTAGGGTGCGCAAACAGCATACGTTAAGAAATCAAGCATTGCAGCTATTACAAGCCAGCCTGTACCACGTTCCTAAATATCTCCAAAACTTAACTTTAATGTATTTTAGCCTTAACTAAATGGAATAAAAGTTGGAAGCGTCATTAGTTAATAAATCAAATCACTAGGAATTTTGTTTACCTACCACGTGATGTACGATAAGGTCTAGTAGGTGTTCGACAAATTTCACGCTACTGAGCAAACTCTGCTTGTTCAACTGCTCTGTTCGGAGTTCGTAATGGTTATGCATCGGATGCATTAGAGCACATAATGCCTCTACAGTTGCATAGTCGATAGCCTCACTCTTGTAAGAAAGAACTCGAACCACCAAATTCCCTAACTTCTCACGAACACTAAACTCAACGGAATGAACAACAGTAATTCAAAAAAAAAGTTGCAAATATCATACCAAAACGACACTTACCCCGGAATTTCCGTGAAGGCTTGAAAACCGCTTTTTGATGCAAATAGTCGCCGTAGACATTGAAGCTGTGCTTCGCATTTGTAAACATAGTTTGGGTCATCCTAAAACTGATAGTATAAACCTAAATTTCTTAAAAAGAAAAAACCAAATTCTTATCTTTTCGTAACATTCTCCTAGTACTGCCTCTAATGCACCAACGATAACTTTTCCTTTATTCTCAGCGAAAAAACCTTCTTGGGATATAGTGTATGTCAGTCCTGTATATGGAATGTTGGCATTGAAACGCCGTATGAGATCAGATCGCTTCAAACCGGCTGAAAACACCAGAAATTATGGCAGGAAAGGTATGAGTTTAAAAAAAGCTACTCAACAGTCCTATGCTAATAGATCGGTTGCATGCAAGCAGTAACAACAGAAAATGTACTTAAATTCGAAACCTAATGATAGAAACAAATTTAAACGTAGAGATCCATGGGTACGTGGGAATATCAAAAAAACCAGTGTGATAACTAAATTACATAAAAAAGCATTATTACACTCAATTGGATTACGCGACCAGAAGTACCAGAACAAGAAGAGGTTTCTTTCAGCATGCCACCCTAAACTTAAACAAAGCTGCACAGTATGGAATTTCCACATTTGAATAGCACAAAAGTGCAAAAACATTTCTATAGTAAAAATACACTGATTATAGTGTATCAATCTATAATATTTAACTATACGGATGCTGAGATATGTAGAAAACTCAGAATCTCAGGTCGGTTTCAAACCCACGATTACCCTTTCCGAAGGCTCACGTTTTATTCACTGCACCAAACGACCCCCTTGCTTCGACTTTCTCTCAGCTATGTTCTTAGTCTATCGGTACTATCAGCAACCACCCGCCCAAAGAAATGATATGGGGAGCACAAATCGGCATAGTGGATAGCACGTGAGTCCTCACTAAGGATAATCGCAGATTCGAAGCACTTCTGAGGTTCTCATTTCTTCATATATTTCAGCATTCCCATGGTTGTATTGCACACCATACTCTGCCATGAAAAAAGAGTAGGCAGGAAATAAAAGTCCAACCATTGCATAGTGATCAGTCGTAATATAAAAAATTGTCCACACATGGATAAAAAACATCAACATCTATGAGGAGCAACCTCTTAACAGTGTGTTTGATAATGGTGGCTTATGTAGTTTCCCATATCACTAATTTCTCCAGACATGATGTTAAAATCGTCCAGAACTCGTGCGGCTGGCATAATATTTGATATAATGGTATAACGACGTCATCAGCAAAATAAAGATAGTGTTTCTGGCAACCATCGAATTTTAATTCCATGTCATTCATTCAGATTTTCGCATTAAATACCTCTAAACTACCAATAAATATGCCCACGTTGGGGTTTGCAAATATCTCAGCATAATTGTGGGTATACCTTACATTACATCATTCCATAAAAACGGGCAGCAGACAAAAAAAAGTGACTACCAATAAATGGTTTTGGTAAGACGCTACAGCTTTACTAAACATTTTGTTTACGCCGATTACAAGTGTCGTTGCATAATGGTAAAATAGATTTGAGTACGCCTTGGCTGTCTGCGTTTTCCATAACCCCTGCTGTCTCAGGTGCATCAAAAAATAAAAAGAAAAAGGAAACTGGATGCTTATCCTCACGTGGAGGTGCAATGATATGTCGCATGCACTGCGATTCACTTTCTTCGTCCAGAAGTTGGCCATGAGGTAGTAAGCGTAATGACTGATCAAAGCGATGACTTGTGACAAACACCTGTAACTGATACCATTAATAAAAAAAAACCAATATAAACACCATACAGCATTAACCCATAGCATCCCACTACCGTATTTCGTGACTGATCCAATGGATTATGCGCAATTTTTCATTGGCTGCGGACATTCTGTTTTTTTGACGATGAAAAAATAATTTTCCAATAAGTAGAACGCTTTAGGGATTCAGAACACGACATAGTTACAAAAGAGACTTTGCTCTATCGTTCTATGGGTATCAATGATACGTATGCTACTATTTATTGTGTCGTTTTCTTGCTCAGCAATCGCGAGGTTTTTAAACAGCATACATTTACTTCCATAAAAACACAATACAATACAACGCTAGCTGACGTTTCGGCAGTATCGCCTTCTTCAGAGCCTGGAAGGGTATACTGATATACAATCTACTAGGCCAAACGCTTCAATAACACTTACAAAAAGACGAAGAACTCTCCGGTAATTACACAATCAACAACTTCTCGAAAAACCCACCGCTTTTTCGTGACTTCCAATGAGGAAGTTTAGAACAGCTGATTATAGTCGCATGTGGTTGACGACTGCACCATCCCACATCAAAAATCGATGCGAACGTACGAGATCAGGTCGCGTATGATCTCCGGGCATTCGTCCCTGCTATTCATTGTAGGGCTTTTGGCATTGATCCAAAAAGCCTCAAGGAGTTTTCGCGCTGGTGTTTTGGACTCCTGTGCAAGGATATTGACTTTCACTTCAAAATCAACATCGAGTCGTGCCGAAGTTTATAAAACGAAAGCGACTTCACGAGATATGCGGTCAACCAGAGGGCAGCCAACAAGTACGAGGCATCGAAATGGAACTACTTCGAGCTGCACTACGAAGCAAGCAGAACGAGAT